AGAGAGAGAGAGAGAGAGAGAGAGAGAGAGAGAGAGAGAGGGGATTTAGAAAAAAAGACCAATGACATGGATGGAAAGTAGAGGAGGTTTCGAATGGAAAGAGTTTAGCAAGAGAGACGGTGGGCTACTATCTGGAAATAAAAGGTATTCGCCTCCTCTAGACTGGTTAACAGGGTGATACCCAAAAAAGTAACCCAGTGATCTGCCATCCCATTTTCTCAAGATGTGGATTTGGATCCTGCGGTCATGAGTCGGGGTCTCATGCACTCGAGGTAGGGCAGGGTCTCATAGGATAATTACTCGTAAGATATATATAAAATGGAGGCTACTATTGTAATTACCGTTACGTTAGGCTTGTTGGTTAGTACTCTTACCTCTTAAATTCAAAGGTTGTGAGTTCGATTTGGGATTTATGTTCTAACTACTTTTTTTTAATGGTTTGAATTCATTTTGGAGCTCTTTTCTTCATAACTCTGTTAAAACATATATTTTAAACTCTATACTTCTTAATAGCTTGGATTTATTTTTTTAACTTTATTTTTCTTAATGGCTTGGATTATTTTGGTGTTCGTTTTTTCCATAACTCTCTTAAAAATATATTTTTTGGAGCCTAAAAAATTCATAAATCTCTTAAAAAATATATTTTTTAACTCTATAATTCTCAATGGCTTGGATTTATTTTTTTAACTCTATTTTTCTTAATGGCTTGGATTTATTTTTTTAACTCTACTTTTCTTAATGGCTTGGAATTATATTGGAGCTTTTTTTCTATAACTCTTATATATATATATATATTATGTCTGAACTCGATTGGGGAAGGCTATATTATGTCTCATGAGAATTCATACATCTCATGAATTCTAGAAAAAACAACCCCTCATGTTTTCTTAAATAAAAAATAAAAAAATAAAAAAACCTTGATAAAAAATACATGCGTACTCTAGCAAAAGTGACATTTACTTTAGAAATTAATTAAATATGACTAATTTTTCTGGAGAAATAACAGACTTAGTGGAACTTTTAATGTTCATTGATATTACCTCTATGATACTATATCAATCGATATTGGTGGAAACAAATGCAAATAATATAGGTGTTTTCAAGTTAATTCAATATCTTAACAAAAAAACCAATAATCAGAATATTATTGTTGAGAAATTAGAGAGAAATAATAGATTTTGTAATTTTTAATAGTCCATCTATATTACCTCTTCGATGTACTAAATCAGCTGATATTGGAGCAAAAAATCCATGGATCTCAAGTGGGGTTTTGAAGAAGATTCCAAAAGCTTTAAAACAAACTAAACATAAGAAAACCTCATCGGATTTGATGTAGAAATGAGATAGAATAGAGATGTTTGCCGGGGGTGGGGGTGGGGTTGGGGGGAATCGTACAAGAACCCTAATTTCCATTAATTTCGTGATGAAATGTTGTTTGATTTGGGTTTTTATGAACTCAAATCATATTATTTAGCTTATATTGTTGTTAAAACACGGAAATCTTTCCAATAATAAATCAAAATCACTCCAAAAATTTTGAATTTACAATTCAATAACTTTTCATTTTCTGAAAATCGAGTTTTCTCCTCGCAAATGGGAAATTCAGGTGATTCTTGCTGATTTTGAAGGAGTCTTTGAAAATTCCACCGATTCATCTACAATTGAGGAGTCCTCGAATAGTTGCACCATCGACTCGAGCCCACTTGGCCTCGGTAGGAAGGCGAGGCCAAGGAACTCGACCAAAGACGAGTCGATTTGACCGAGTCTGAAAATTATGTTCACAACAAATCAACTTTAAAATCAAATAAAAATAATTTTTATATTTTTTATTAGGTTGATGTTGTCCAACAATAAAAATATCAGGCAAAATCTCTAAATTGCTATCAGCAAAATTGCCGTACACGTCACTACACCACACTGTTCAGTGATACATGCAAACAAAAAAACAAAAGGTACAAACTTCCCTTATCTGGAGATAGCAAGGCCAGGTGGAGCAGTCACATAAAAAAGAGAAAAGAGGCAGGGGTCAGCATAATTAATATTCAAAAAAAAAAATTTGCAATCCCGTAATAAAACCGATAAAAATGTCTACATCCATATTTAACTAATTTCAATAATTTTACCCCTTCCGTACTGAAAAAACTCAAAAGAAAATGAGAGCGAATGGAGCAAAAGTGTGCCGAGCGGACCATCCTGACAGATGGGACTTTATTTATTGGTGGGATCCACATGGTTATAAAAAACAAACTGAGATCGCATGTCGCCCAAGACAAATTAACGGTAGATTCTTATGATGGACGGCTGATATTCGCTCTTGGACAAAATATTGTTGCAAAAGAAGGGTGTCGGTGAAAGAGTAGCAAGACTTTCGAGAAGCCAAAATATTTCTATTTCCACATGAGTATACTATCTATTTACTTCATCGGACAAGATCCTTCTTAAAACCTATATAATAATCGCAGCAAAAATAAAATTCTCAAAGTAAATACTTTGTGTACTAGAAAAACTAAATCTTCAATATTTAAGAGAGACCATCCAATTTTTGAATTACTAGATCTAAGTGTCACAAAACTCAAAATCCAAATATTTATTTTGAAAATAATCATGTACTAATTGCTATGCAGTTCCCAAATTTTAGACTAAAAAAACTCGACTAGCTTCGAATTTTTGCCGAGGGAGTAGATGTACAGCACTACTCCCGCAACAGCACAGTATAGGCGCTCAAACAACAAACTCCTAACATCATTCCACCATTTCAGCGGCCTACTTGCTTCTTTAAGCACAGTCAGTCCCTTTGATTCTCTCTCTCTAAGAAATGGGTGTCTCTGAAATCCTTCTCAGCTTTTCCCTTCTTCTCTTCCTTCTCTCTCTTTTTCTCTCTCCTTACTCTACTCTCTGTTTAGGTTATGGACCTCTAATTTCTCTCTCTAAGTTTAGACTGTTAAGACAACTTCTTTCCCCCCAAATCTTTCTATCGCTAGATGACTTTGGAGCAAAAGGGGATGCCATTACAGATGATACACAGGTAAGTTAAACCACCCCAAAACCAGAATTTATGTTTCTTTTCTTTCTCTCTCTTAGTATTCTGTAAATGAGCATTGGAAAACACTGAATTAAGCCTTAGGTCCTGCATATTTTGCCTCAATTTTGTGAGAAACTGGACTTTAGAGAAAACCCAGCTTTCCTGATCCCTGGTTTTGGCATTTTAGGCTTTTGAAGAAGCCTGGGAAGGGGCCTGTTTATTTTCTCCCTCAGTCCTTGAAATCGCAGCTGGGAAAGTTTATATGGTTCGTCCCATTGAGTTGGGTGGCCCCTGTCGATCGAAGGTTACTCTCTTGGTATGTAACAATGTATCAATGGTTGTTATTTTGTTTATCTTTCCTTTTTTTAGGGTAAATTTTTTTTATTTTATTTTTTGTAGATGTAAAATTTTTAGAATTCAAACTGATTCTTGGTTTTTGAGCTGTTTTATAGGCTAAGCTTCATCTTCTTTCAATACCTAATTGTTTCTTTTCTGCAATTTCTTTATGTAAAAAATGGAGGATCTAATATGTATGTTAAGGGCGTGTGGGAAATTTGAAATAGGACTCTGATTACTCTCTTGATGTGTATGACTGTCCTCATCGATTCTTTATAGGGATGATTCTCATAATCTCATCTTGTTCAGTGCTGTGTGACCATCTAAATGATGGGGATTTTAATGTGAATAATGATGGGACTTACCCTATTTGTATGTATGACTGATCTTTTAAGTGGGATCATAATTTCATAAGACTGGTTCATGGCCTCTTTTGTGCGTTAAATTCGTCCTTGTTTAAGTAGCCAACTGTTAGCTGCTACTACTATATATGAATGAATGGAGTTATGAATGAATGTAATTGAAAATGGTATCAGGTTTATGCTTTTGGTATGTTTGTTCGGTGTTCTAAGATTTTTATTGGGTAGTTCTCATATTACTTCATCGGCCAATTTCTTGTTTACTAATAATAAAAAATAACAATGTTTTACTACTATAATTTGTGTATCTAAATGGTGGGAAGGTCATTATGAGAGGGGAAAAGTTTATATAAGGTATCAACCTTACTCTGTAGAAGTAAAGTATGCCTCAAAAACCCATCCAAAAAAGGGTTGTTCTGATGCTAGAAACCCTCCAATTGATTATATCCATCTCGAGATGTATTGCTATGGAAAAAGACGAATTTCAAGTCCTAAAAATAGTACATCTTGTAACTCGTAATCTAAACAGTCCATTTTCAAGATTTTCAAGCGTTTGCAAATCTACTTGATCTGCACTATTTTTTGAGTTTTAAATTTCATAATTAGATGTGAAATTGATTTTCAGTTCATCATTGAAACTTTGGACACCAAAATTACATCTTTCGACAAGGTTTGGAGGTGCACCTTAGTTGAATTGTTTAAGGTTGACGCCTTATGTAAACCACACCGTTATAAGAGGTACTTATGTTGTTCTTTTATATGTATGAATGAGCTGTTTATTGGCTTCTTCTCATCTTTATTCAGTAATCAATTGTTTGTGTGCTGCTATTCCTGGACTGTAACTTGGTCAGGTGCAAATTGGGATGACCTTGACCGGACACAGTCCAGTTAAAACCTGGACATGACCCCCTGGGTAGGCATGGGTCTTGGTAAAAAATTATATCAATTTGATATAATTATTACATAAAATTATATTCAATATGATCAACAATATATAATATATATAAAATTTTATTGTGCATACATACTCTATCCCGCTTCAGTTGGGATGGTTCAAGCCCGACATGGGAAGATTCAAGTTGAACCCGTGGTCCAGCTCCAGTGGACCCTGATTTGGATTGGGCCAGTGCCCTGACCTGATAAGGAGCCTGGCTATTCAGTATGAATCTCAGAGATGTGGGTAATTTGAATTGCTAACAGGTTTTAGGGACCATCGTGGCTCCCAAAGATCCTGATGCCTGGGAAGGGTTAAATCCAAGAAAATGGCTCTATTTCCATGGGCTTGAAGATTTCATCATAGAAGGAGGGGGGACGATAGATGGAATGGGAGGGGAGTGGTGGGCTAGATCTTGCAAGACTAATATGTCAAATGTAAGTTGAACATGCCATGAATCTCTGAGTGTTTGTCTTTCCAAATTAATTAAGTTTGTAACTTGACATGGCGAGTTCCGAATGACAAAAATAAAAGCCATGTTTCTAATGCATTATTGATATTTGTTTCAGCCATGTCATCCAGCTCCTACGGTATGTGCTCATCTTGCGTTAGCAAAATTATGTCATTCCAATAAATACAAGTGGGTTTCTACTGTTTTAATTCTACCATCTATGTTTATTCAATTGCATCTCTTGATGCATTAAAGAACCTTCTGAGATTATCTCATTCAACTATTATATGGTGCAGGCTATAACTTTTCACAGATGCAATAACCTGATTGTGCGAATGCTCAAAATTGTTAATAGTCAGCAGATGCATGTGGCATTCACTAATTGTGTTCATGTCAAAGTGGACAACTTGCAAGTTGTTGCACCTACTGAAAGCCCTAATACTGACGGCATCCACATAAGTGCATCTCAACAGGTTCTGGTAAGGAACAGCATGATTGGAACAGGTGAGTTTGCCAAGAGTAATTTTTTGCAGATGCAACTTATGTATTCTTGAATTGATATTAACATATTCTGTCTCCCTTCAAATTTCATAATTCTTCTTTGTGGCTACACTTTTTTGTAGTTTTTATTCCTTAAAGAGTGTTTTACCTCTTCAAAAGGGACTATTTGTGGAAGCAACTTGTAATTTCTTGCGTAAATATTAAAAGTTTGCCTCCCTGTAGTGTTTGAAATACATATACTGTGTACTTGGTTGTACTCTGTATTTTCTTCACTGTGGAATCCTAAGATTTTCAACTAGTGGAAAGCCATGCAATTAGATTATATCTCAAGAAAAATGTTCTTAGTTTGGCAGATGACATTATTGGAACTATTTTTCACTATTTTTCTTTTCTTTTCTTTTTTTTGTTTTTTTCCATACATCAAATGCACTGAAAAATTACTACATAGCTCTTTTCCAAAGAACAATATGTTTATATCATGCTGAGCAAGACATGAAAACTAGTTTCAGTGAAGTGAGATGCTGCAAACAAAAAAAAATCTGATATGGAGGTTTGTTTTTTCCAAGAAAAGGTCACATAGAGGATAAGTAAATTCCTGGGGCTTGAAAAGTCAGTGTTCCTTTGCTTTTTGATTAGGAATATAAGCTCGCGTTTATACAGTGTCGAGCAATGAAATGGATTTGATTGAAAGTGTTTGCAAAGCTAGAGAACAGGTAAAGGGAGGAGGCGGCAAGGGGGACAGGATGAAGCAACAGGGAAAGTGAAGGGGAGTAAATTAGAAGAGACTGAGGGAACTAAACGTAGCGGTATTTACTTTTGTCGATTAGATATGTTGAAGTCAAATAAGGAGGGCAATTCTAGCACATAGTAGAGCTGGAATGAACAGCTTACGAACATGAAAATTATGTATGGGATAATTAGAAGTGTGGCTTTCCTGGGATGAAGAGAGAAAATTAAATAATTTAAAAGTCTGACTTTCCTAGGTTTATTTTATCTTGTATGTTTACCAGAAATAAATTTAAAAGAAACTTTATACAGAGTATTGTAAATGATAAGAAATGCTTCTAACAAATCCTAAACCCATCAAAACTCAAAAGTAGGGTCCTTGAATTAGTAGTTCAATATTAGAATGGATGACTGCATTAAACCATTGTGCCTCACCTGCACAAACAAAAAATAAATAAACGAACATATGCACTGTAAATTATGTTAATTTGATCCCTTAGTTATGCAAATCAACTTTTTGGACGTAGAGTTGACAATTATTTGTGTTTGTTCAATAAAAAGAGCTTGATTAGTTTGATTTATTATTTATCTTTAATCATCCATCAGTCTAATTACGAATTTTTCTGATGCCTTTTCTCCAGGAGATGATTGCATATCTATTGTTAGTCATTCTTCTCAAGTACTTATTAAAAACATTACTTGCGGACCAGGTCATGGTATAAGGTAAGATGATGCTCAACACTTTTAATTTTTCAAAAATCTCAGGTAACATTACGTCATAGCCCATATTATCTTAATTTCCTTAACATGATATGTTCAATAGCATTGGAAGCTTGGGAAAAAACAATTCATGGGGTCAGGTGAACAAAGTCTTGGTTGATGGAGCCTTCCTTAAAAACACTGAGAATGGTCTTAGAATCAAAACTTGGCAGGTAATCATAATTTAAATGAGCCATTTTATTTATGAGAATCGTTTTGAGAAATAATTTAAATGAGCCATTTTCATTTTAACCCGAAACAAATGTTGGAAATTAGGAAATACCTTAATTAAAAAAAAAAACGCAAGAACAGGAAAGACCCATCTCATTTAAAGCACATCTTTTCCATATCTCTTGATCTATATTGATGTTTTGGCACAAAAAAAAAATAGCATATACTAAGCTAATGCTTGCACTTCTTCAGGGAGGTTCTGGCTTCGCTGAAGGGATTGCCTTCCACAATGTAGTTATGGAGAATGTATCAAACCCAATAATTATTGATCAGTACTACTGTGACTCTTTGGAACCGTGTCCAAACCAGGTATTTAGCATGAACTATTGCTTGAACTTAGATTACAACATGACCCAGAAATGAGAATTTTTAATTTAGAGAAAAAAAAAGTACGTAATTTATGAGTTTGTCTTGGTAATGCAGACATCATCTGTTAAAGTGAAGGCAATTACTTTTATAAACATTCGAGGAACATCAGCAACAGGGGAAGCTATGAGGTTTGCTTGCAGTGAAACCTTTCCCTGTGAGGACATATATTTAGAGAATATTGAGTTATTATCGGCATTGGGAGGAACTTCAGAAGCATTTTGTTGGGAAGCGTTGGGCTCAAGCTTTGGCCCTGTATATCCCCCTCCTTGCTTTTGGAATTGTGGAAAGCTCATTGGGCATCTCCCAAGCAACAATGTATCTTCTATGTAAGAACATATAGGTTATAATTATTCAATTATTTGATTCACACATACACAAATGCATGACCATGCATCTGCAAGAGTGTGTCTGGATGTTTGGGGGTTGGGGGGGGGGCAGAGAGAATTCATAATATATTTGTAGTAGGCGATTTTTATTATGCGTATACCTTGTGCATAAGTTTAAAGAAAAAAAAGGTTGCAGTTACGCATTGTTATACTTGTGAGGGAAATTATGTCTTTCACCCATTTATATAGATTTTCTGGATAGATCAGCAGTAGGAATTGAATTTGAGATGAAAGTGGAATTGGTAACATTTACTGCGAGTCACTCAAGCTCAAGCCCAAGCTCGATTCTTTTCGGATAATTACAGTTGAGTGAACACGTTCAGTCCAAGTTTTTTGTTGTCTTTTTTTTTTTGAATGGTAACGTACGACTTGTTATTTATTCAAATGTAAAATACAAGATGTTCAAGCAAAGATACAATATTATAAAAATGAAGTAACCAACAAAAAGGGAGTATGGATTCATCTTTTGGTGAAAACATTAGCATCTTCATTCGTATCTCTATAACAATGTTGGATTGTTCCCATAGAGGTTGATAAAATATATCAAATTTGATGAAAAATAGTCTTTAATCTCTAAAGAATATGGGTCTTTCTCTTACTTAAGGTAATGACATTTACCAAGTCTCCTTCAATAATCATGTCCTTTTTCAAAGTGCATAGTAATTTCAAACTTTCTAATAAATCTCGTGTTTTCACCTCATTTGTTATTGTGATATCACAAGGATCCGAGTAAGAAAATATAATGTGCCCTAAATTATTTCTGACGAGATCACCAAAGCCAGCTGGCTCTGGATTACCAAGTGAACTTTCATCAAAATTAAGTTTGAAGGAATTCAATAGTGGTGGTGTCTAAATAACTTCACTACCAGTATTGGCGGTAGCACCCATAGTCACCACTGCCAAGGGATTGCTAATGATAAGACTTTTAGGAATAAAGTCATTATCCTTATGTGCAAAGAATTAATCAGCTACAACTACCAAAATATTCGATTTTAATGTAGACAAATTTGTACTTATAATATCAAAGACTCTTCTATTTCTTTGCTTCTACACACTCCAAAGAAGGCTAACCCAAATAGATATCCAAAGAATAGTTCCCATCTTTGAAATATCGGGTGTGATCTATTGATCAAGAAGATCTCTGACATTTTGGGGCAAAGGTCATGACAGATTGAGGCACTGTCGAGCCCAATCCCAACGATATATAACAAAAGAGCATGAAAGGAAAAGATGTTACGAACTTTCATCATTGTCTTTCCATAAGATACATACATTGGTGATAATAAACCTCATCTTTCTCAAGTTGTCAATAGTTGTTAATTTATCTTGGCACAAGATCCATAAGAATAACTGCACTTTAAGAGGAACATGTAATTTCTTAATCTTGAATAAACCAGCATCCAAGTCTCTCCAACGATCGGAAAATAATAGATTGTAGGTTGAATTAACCAAAAAATCTCCCGAATGGGTAAAATCTCAAATAAAGATATCATCCATATTTGGTGTCAAATATGTGCTGTTCAATAATTCCAACAATGTTTGATAGTCCTTAATGAATCTATCTGTACCTTTCTTGTACCTACAAGGCATGGACCAAACAATATTAGTATAAACACCCCCACTAGCCTCCTTGACAAATGTTAGCGGGTTTAAAGCTTTTGAGAAAACCTTGGGGAAAAGGTATCTCAACGGGTCATCTCTAATCCATTTGTCAAATCAAAAGAGAGTGGATTCTCTATTCCCCACTATTTTTTCAAATTGTCATAGATACACAGATCTCTCGTAGTCAATGCCTCTCCTAACATGGGACAAACTTGTCTTGTTTCTTGGACTTTTAATGAGGCCAAAGTTCAAATCCATTCCATATTTCTCTCTCGGAACAAGCACTCAGAAAGACTCAGGTTGTGTATGGATCACCCACCATCATTTTACTAAAAGTGTCGAGTTCATATGTTTCAGTCTCCTAATACCCAATCCTCCCTCTTTCATTGGTTTACAAATTTATTCTCAACTCACCAAATGAAATCTTTTTCTTCTTATGTCATCTCCTTACAAGAATTTTCTCATATTTCTCTCTAGTTGTTTTTCAATTGCTTTTGGCATCTTAAGTAAGAACATAAAATATATTGGGAGGTTGGATAAAGTGGATTTAATCAATATATATCTTCCCCCCATAGAACGATTTTTAGCTTTTCAAGTGTTCAGTTTCTTGCTAAATCTCTCCACCACTGGATCCGAAATTGATTTTGAAGGCCTCAAACGCACTAAGGGAATTCTCAAATAAGTACAAGGTAAGGACTCAACCCTACAAATGTGTTATTCTTGATACTACCATTTGTGGACAACCAATACCAATGAGCTTGGTTTTACTCAAATTAACTTTAAGTTCAGTTGAGAGTTCCACACTTTTCAAGAAAATCCACAGGCAAGTGATTTCCTTAATTGTGGGATTACATAATATAATGGTATCACAACATACTGTAAATGTGATACTCTAAGACCCATATTACCAATATTAACTCCTGATATGATCATTTGCATTGTCAATCCATTAAGCATGGCACTAAAGCTCTCAGCTACCAAAGTATATAAAAAATGTGAACCAGGGTCTCATTGTCTCAATCCTCTTGATCATTTGAAAAAACTGATTGCTTTGCCATTAACAAGAACTGAAAAATGAGTGGAAGACACGTAACCATCAATCTACAATCTCCACTTTGAGCGAAAACCTATTTTAGCCATGATACTTTGTAGTATCTCCCAATCAACCTTATCGTATGCCTTCTCAAAGTCTAGCTTACAAATAAGGCCCAATTTGTCATCCTTGATTCTTGAGTAGATACATTCTCGTGCAACCAAAATACTATCCATAATTTGCCTATCCTTCAAGAATGTTGATTGTGGTCATTTAATAACAATGTGAATCACCCGACGCAGTTTATTGGCTAAAATCTTTGCTATGATTTTATATAAACTACCAATAAGACTAATAGGCCGAATATATTTGATCTCCGCAATGACATTTTTCTTTGAAATTAAATCAATAAAAGTGGAATTCATGGCAATATTTATTTTACCTCTCCAATAAAATTCTTCCAATAATTGAACAATATCATCTTTCAAAATATCCCAAAAAGACTAAAAAGAAAACCATTGGGTATCCATCTTGGCCACGAGCCTTATCTCTGCCTAGGTCAAAGACTGCATCTCTGATTTCTTGCTCTTCAAATTTTCTCTCCAACCACTGAGCTTGTTCTGACGGCAACCTAGTAAAAGGTAGATCTTGAATGGATAGTTGAATCCCACTATCGGCCTCATAAGATTTCTTGAAATAATCAACCAGGACCCTTTCAACCTCTAACATATTGTCAAAGTCCTTAAATACGGAGGCTTTGAATTGAGTTACCCATTTCCTTGCATTAGCAATAGCATGGAAGAATCTCATGTTTTTATCTCCTCCTTTAGTTATTTCATATGAGATCTTTGTCTCTAATGAATTTCCTCAAAATTAAGAAACTGTATACGTAGCCACCCATAAGCTTCTGTCTTTGAATTGATCCTGTGTTGGAGCACCTCCCATAAACTGAACATTATCAAACTTCTCTATATGAGACTTTGCTGCCCCAATTTTAGAATGCAAATCTCCCGAAACATTCATCTTCCAGGTAATAATCCTTTGTTTCAATAGTTGGAGCTTTTTTGAAATTTGGAAACCGTTCCAACCATCAACAATAGTATTTTTTCAAAACTCTTCAATCAAGCTGAGTAAAGATCTATCTGATAGCCACACTAATTCAAATCTAAAAGGGGATGGTCCAGACAAGAAACCATCAGAGTTAAGGAGAAGAGGGACATGATCAGAAGAAATATTTTGTAGGATTTTCACACCTATTTATTGGAAACGAGTAACAAACTCATAATAGACAAGAAACATGTCTAACCTTGTCAAAATAGGATCGTGTAAATTATGATTGGACCATGTGTCATTAGCTCCAGTAGAAGGAAGATCAATCAATTCATGGTGTTGTATAAAACCTTCAAATAATCTCATACAAGAAGACATAGAAGTAGAAGATTTAGATTCACTCAGCCATCTAATAATATTAAAGTCACCACAAACCAACTAAGGCACATTCAAGTTTAACTGAATATTTGCTAGTTCATAAAAAAAAAAAAAGATTTATCAGCAGCTATGTTAGGCCCATATACTACAGATAAACACCAAGAAAAATTATCTAAAGGCCCTTAGAAAACAATGGAAATGTATCTACTTGAAAGAAAGTTTTGTGAAGCACTCAAAACCAAAGAGTCCCAAAGGACTCAAATACCACCAGAAGAACTAAAAGCATGTACTCCCAAAAAATCGAATGAACTATTTCCCCAAACCTGTCTAGTAGTACGAAGAGTTGGGGCCTCTAATTTAGTTTTGTGAAGAAGCAAGAGCTCAGGCCTTTCCTTTATGCAAAAAGAAAGAACATCTCTCTTGCATTGAGCACTATTGAGGCCCCTGACATTCCAACATAGCACTTTCATACAGATTAGTAACCATCTCTATGTTTGGTCACCCCTGAAGAACCAGCAAACATAGGCAACAAAGATTCAAAATGTGCGAGAGGACAAGCATTTACCTCACCGTGATCATAGTTAATATGGACCTAATTGTCAAGTTCACTTTGAAGCCTTCCTTTCTTCTTGGATTTCTGAATTTTTCTCCTAACAAGCCTTTCCTCTAGGTTATTTCTATGCTCCTCATTTAAGGTATGTAATAGCATCAAGAGAGTCACCATAATGCACATTAATTGCATCCAAAACTATACCTCCAAAGGTTAGATCACTAAGGACATGTCATCATTGACATTGTCATAGTCATTTTCCTCAAAATTATACAGGAACTTCATCATCAGCATCATCACTCGACGGTCTCATAGCAATCGGATGAACTATAAGAAGTTCTTCCAACGCATGTTCTATGAGGCTTCGACTACTGTTATCA